AGAAATCAAAAAGAGGAGGTGAGAGAAGAAAAATATTCAAAGGGAAATTATAATTTTAACAGGACTCATTGTCTTTAGTTCGATCTCATTAAGCTGCGACACCGTCGTACTAGTGGTAGTAAACATTGCTGTTGTGGAAAGTACTACTGTTTTTCATTTGTAAATCATCTTTATAAAAGAAAAATATGGTTTTGTACACTTTAAGGTTATTTCACTTCAAGAGAAGGCCACATAGAAAAATACAGCAATCATACTAGTACACTATTCACATATAAGTGATTTTGAAAATATTTTTTCCCCTTGATATACACTTTAACAGTAAACTTCCATTAAAGTTCAACACCTGTAACATTTGGCTCCTTTTTTGACTTCTGACCTTCTTCGTCATGCATTTAGCGTTTTTTATCTGTACCAGCATATAACACGAGTTTTGAACTCTCTCTCTCTGATAATTTTCGCTTGTTTTAATTCTAACGAGAGAATATTTAACAATGCAGTTAATATATAGTTTTTTTATAATTACTGGACAACTTTTCCTGGTGATTACCTTTAGCTGGGGATCCCATATAACAACAGGTTAGTATATGACACGTTTGGGACAGTTTTTATCAAAGCTCCACTTTCTAGGATCCTTTCGAAGTGCGTTGGTATTTATGAATATTTAGACACTGATACTCACTAAGCCTGAGCAAATGAGTCTGTAATCAAGGAACACAGAGGTATTTATGGAACTCGAAGAAAATGGTCTATTTCAAATGGGCTTATTTAATTAGTCGTGTTTTTGTATGTCCTCTATCAGTATAATGACTACATCGTCTGACTGTTGAATTAATGTGGTTGTCAAAGTGAGAGTGGAAAAAATGAATACTTGGAAGTTCATTTTATCTCGGGAGGTTTCATCATATTATTAATTTATCAATCTTTTATAATGCTTGGCTAGGGAATACAAAAGAAATGCCAAAAATTCCATTGAGAAAAGTGGGAATTCTTTTTTCATGCTAACCTCGCATTCAAGAAGGGTTCATGATGCATTGCACACATTTGCAAAATACCATTTTTTTCATATTCTCTTAATATCGTAAATCAGAAAATACCACCTCTTAAACATGAATTTAGATCCATTTTTATTGGTTCATAGAGACTAGTATAACCATGGATTTTGTTGGTGATATAAGCTTTGATGGGCCAGTGAAGTATAATCAAGAAAAAGGATTCTGTTCGTACAACAAGACCTTGGAATATGTGGCAGGGATTCTAAGACAACCAGACCTTGCCATAGGTAACCTAGAGTCTCCGTTTGTCTCCAAGAAAATGCAACGTCAAGGGCAGTTTCAGTTCGAACCCTTGTTAAGTGCTGAGTCTGCAAGTGTTCAGGCACTCAAGTAAGATTCAGCATTATAGTCCCATTATGTGTTGCTCCCCTCTTTCAATCATCCTTACAGATATTTGTTGTACGTTTTTATTAATGAAACTTGTTGCCGCGTTGTTGTGTATCATTTTTACAGTTTCGCAGGATTCGGCTATATCACGTGGTTGTTATCATTTTTCATTTTGCTGCTGCTGCTGCTATTCTTGTTCTTGTTGTTGCTATTGTCGTTGTCGTTGTCGTTGTCTTTGTTGCGGTATCGTTTGTTTCGCTTTGCAGCATATGATATCACATGACTGTTCTTCTTCTTCATCTTAATGCTGCTGCTTCTGCTGTGATCTTCGTTGTTGTTGTTAAACCGAAACAATTCCAAAACGTGGTATGCATTCTTTTAGCTTCGCAGGATTTGACATCATGGGTTTAAATAATAACCATTTAAATGATTATAAAGAAATGTCAGTAAAATATACAGTAAAGATGTTGAAACAGGCTCAAATCAAGTCTTTTGGATATACACTTGGCCAATTGAATGATGACCTTCCTCAGGTATGGATATCAGCCGTTTCCTTCACAAGCGTAGTCGGGAGAGTAGTAACCATAAAAATCCTTTTCAGCTTGAGCGCGATATTCTGCGTTCCATACCGTATTTCCTTCCCAGTCTTAATGAGAGAAAATATACTGAAGGTGCATGCATATTTTAAAATGGTGTTTCAAACGAGCTCTATATTCTGCGTTTCATATTATAATACTCCAGTTTCGAGTTCTCTTTTTTTAGCCTTAGTAGTCTCGGTTAGTGTGTCATAATATTCAGCTCTATTCAACCGAAACCCGTGGCATTTTCCGTATTGTTCCGTAGTACGTACATTCCTTACTATACAATGGACCGTAATAAAAGAAAAGATACGTTAGTACAGAATCGAGGCTAAGGCTGAGTAAAGGCGAACTCAAAATGGGAGTATAAATTACCTTGAGTATTATTCTTTTCCCCTTTGCCTCGCGTGTATTATTGTATGGGTTGTGATATGTGTAGGTGTACATTTTAGATTTTTTTTATAACACATGAAAAAAATTCCCGTCAGAGTCATTGAACGAGTCTTAGCGAAGATTATTAATTTATGACTGATATTTAAATACAGGAACCGTTGATCGTAACGAAGAAAGGAATCAGGATTGGATTTCTTGGTTACTGTGATGTGTTTCACTTTCATTTATCTATGCACCTGCTTTACACTTGTCTAAAACATAGAAATTCCCTTAACGCTGGACCTGCAATTTATAGCGATGCCGCTGCTATAAGAGATGTTAACAGTTTAAAGGTGAAAATAATATGCATTCGTTTAGCAGTTGGCCTAGAAAATATATTCCCATATTCTACATTCCACTGTCCTCCAACTCCTTTCACTACACACAAACACACAATATAAAAACAGCTGGGAAAATCTCCATAGTAACTACAAGAACTAAAGGTTTTTTGTCATGGAGCTAGGGAAGTTAAGCTTATTTATTTGGGAAGGGGGGGAAGGATGGGGGATGCGAAGTAATTTTTCTAACAATGGTTATAAACACATGATCTATTCATTAATTCAACAATAAAAGGAAACAGCTTTCTTCAAATTAAATACGTTTATCCCTCCACGAAAGTTAAGTTTTTTTGACTGATTACCCTCCACTCTGAAGCTCCAGCCCTCTACCAATAAAAACATACCTTACATTCGTATACTTAATCTTGCATAATAATAGATGTTATATGTTTTTTGCATTGTTCTCAGCATAAGGCTGATGTGATTGTAGTATCCATGCACTGGGGCATAGAAAATAAGCAACCTCCAACTGACACCCAGTTCAGACAATATAAACATCTACAGTCCCTTGGCGTTGATTTGGTAATTGGCTGCCATCCACACGTATTGCAAGGCCACATGGTTTATAATGCGACGTTTGCTGCATTCAGCCTTGGAAATTTCTTATTTGGACCCATGGGTTTCCGCTTGCAGGTCTGTCTGCCTCACCGTGTGTCAGTCTATCTATCCTTGTTGTGTTCGCCTCTTCGTCTGTCTGTCTGTCTGTGCGTTTTCCCTGTATTCATATTATCTTTTTGCCTAAACCAGGCGTTCTACAACAACAGCCAGCCCTCCATAAGAATCCAGCAGGAGTTTCAGCGTTACATGGATACTTCAAGTGATCGATCGTTACTGTCACGCATTCTTCGGGTCGTTGTAAATAAGTAAGTTCCTTCTTTTTCACATTAGTTTTTTTCTTTTGTTCTGCCTTTTTTCCCCCACCTTTTTTGTCGTCGGGAAGCATGGATAGTGTGCGCCGCTATTGCGCCGACTCCCACATGTCTCGCTGTCGTATGTGTCGAGTTGTTTGTTGGTTGGTCTCCTGTGCTTCGAGATTTTCACTCCGGGTTTTCCGGTTTTCTTCCCTCCAAGAAAATAATAAAACTTCTGAATTCTAATTGGTTCCATCGGCTGCCTAATAAAGTAGGTTGTACATCCTGTCAGGCTTTCTGTCCACCTGGACACAGGGAACCCAGCTATTTTTTTGATTATTTCTTTTAGAAAAGTGACTTTGCTCCTTATGGTTTTCCTGTGGTTTGTGGTTGCCTTTTGATCGGTTTACATTACATAAGCTGTAATCAGATCTGCGCTGGAAATTAATAGGGGATTAAATTCAAATCAATAACCCATTTTGTTTTGCTTCTCATTTAATCAAAATAAAGCGGGGTTACCTGTGCCCTGGAGATGTAAATTACATTGCCATCTTTTTATTACTAATACGTTTGTCCCTTGTTTTTGTACTGAATGACAGGCAAGGTTTTAAGTCAGCTCAATATCTCCCAATAAAGATTCAATTCGATCGCAACAACAAATGTCTTCAGCCAAGACCTGTCAGTCATGCGCAGTGGATCAAAGTTTGCAGCAAGAAAGATAAGGCTTGTTTGATGAACATTTAAACTTGATACACTTTTCATTATATTCTCGCGTTAATGTTTTAGTAAACTTTTTTTTGCTATTAATAATTATAATTTCATGAATACGCATGCGCAAGAATAAAATATTTTAAAAAGGGCTAAGAGGCGCATATGTATTTTTCGTAGTTGTGAAATAAGTCAAATCCATGTCATGAAAATCACTTGCAACAGAAAACTATTTTATGGTCTGGAAGCTTTGGCGTTTTTTTAGGGAATAAAAACAACATCATGAATAGGGAAAGGTAGGCTGAGGGGAAATTTTTTTTATAGTGTAAGTGGTGCTTTTGTAAGTATTTTCTTGACTTTATGTCATAAGTAAGAAAAGATCATCAATACTGAAGGTTCGAGATCTTTTTATTATGGTTTAAAGCATTGCTAGGAAACTTGACGGTATAATGGTAATAAGGGGTAGAAAACAGTTACATTTATAGCTATTTATCAAGCTTCAGTTTAATATTCCTCGCCTTCGTCTTCTCCCTCGTCATCAATTGAGTCAACTCCAACCTCTTCGTAATCCTTCTCAAGGGCTGCCAAGTCCTCACGGGCTTCGGAGAACTCTCCTTCTTCCATACCCTCTCCAACATACCAGTGCACAAAGGCACGCTTGGCATACATCAGATCAAACTTGTGATCCAGACGAGCCCAGGCCTC